TGCGAACAAGGATTTTGACCGAAAAATGAAAAAATTGAAATATCTCTGAAATTTAGTATGAACGGGTATACATATTTCGATTGATTCAGATAAGAGAAGCGAAGCATCGAAGCGAGTATTTAAAAAAAAAATTATTGAAATCGGATGGATAGATTCCGAGATATTTACGAAAAAGGATTTAGAAACAAATGGCTTTTTCTCGACAACGCTTGGATCGATTCAGTTGAATCGGTGCACAGAGTTAGTCCGCATTTATACCTATAATCTCACGAAATTTCAGATTTTTTTGAATTTTTTTTGCGGTTTATTCCTTCGATTTTCTAAAAGTTGACCATCAAGTCGGCCAAGTTGACCACGCGCACATACAGACACAGTCGTCAAACTTCATATTTTACGTTTCAGACCATTCTATATCATTTCCACGCAAAATTAAAAGATCTAAAAATCCATGGAATATAATGCTTCCATTCGGAAGCAAAAAGGTTCAAAATAAGTCCAATTAAAGTCGATTTAGTTGTGTTTTGAGGCCGTTATCGTCGAATGAATTTTTCTCTCAATCTGCAATTACTCGAAATGCTCACTTTAAAAATTTCTGAAATTTTCAGGGTAAGTTGGGAACATAATTGCCAATATCTTTATAATAGTTCTCTGTTAAATGAATATTTTTCCGTTTCCACTTTTTTCTTTTTTTTTTCAATCCATAGATGGAATAATTTGATGGAGGCACAACGGGCATACAATGAATAGAAATTACCGCAAGAAAAACCGTGTTCCGTTTTATACAAGAGGAAAAAATAATCAGAAGGATCCAGTTGGAGACATGAGTGGAGTAACCAGAAGGTCGAGCATTTTTAATTGTCAAACGACCTTATTAGAACGGGTCGAGCAGGAGATGGGACTGAAGCAAGTAAAGTATCACGAAGACCAAGTGAGAGGGGCAAGTAGAACAATCGTAAGGATCTGAAAAGGTCAAACGGACAATTGGGCTGCATATCCTCTATGCAGGCCTACGGGAGGAGAATGAATTTTAGGGTTCCGATTCGGGAAAAAGCCTGCTAAAAACATCACCAGTCCATGCGAATTTTTTCGTATTTTTCAAATCAATTTTCATGTATGCGATAGATTCCTCCCCAGTAACTACTGGAGTAGTTATTGGGGAGGAATCTATTGCATCTTGCATGTCCACATCATGTGTTGGAACTGCTGCTGAAATCTGCTATTGAAGCTTCTATGGGGCCAACTTCTGGACTAGATATTCTCATTTACAAAAGATCCCAAGGGCAATGGAAAAACATTGAGAAAGGAGAATTTTCACCAGGAGTCCAAGATGATGATGTAGAAGTAGCAATTAGGAATGATGCAGAAAACGCCCTGGCATTTGCTTACTCACGATTGAATATACGTTATGAAGAAAAATTTACAATATTCAATCTAACACATTTTTTCAATCCATTGAAGAATTAAATTGACGTTTTCTCATTCATCTCTTAACAGATTGACAACATCAGGAAGGACTACATAGTTTCTGGAGCTGGTGGTGATGTTCTTGGGTGGAAATCTTTCAAATGGTAATCGATTCCGAGCGCTGAGTCCCATTCATCATGCTAGATGGATGGCGAAGGCAATTTACTCATTGAAAATATTCCTATTAAGAGATCAATTTCATATGACATCTCAGAAAATATAAAGTTTCAAGAGAATTTGTATTTTTATCGTCCTCCTGTATCAGAAGAGTTGGTTCACAGCATCAAATGCAATTGAAGCTGCCAAAAACGATGTAGAACTATTGAAAAAATTAGGAACTGATCATAGTTCTACGTTGTGACGAGTCTACAATGCGGTATTTGAGATTTTTGGGAACCATCTCCAATACTTATCAGAAGAATTAATCGCTTTCTCTTTTTTCGATGAAAACTTGAGTGCAGATTGCAAGAAAAAGATGTGCGAAGCTATAAAATCATGTCTTGCACTCAAAAATGATCGAAAAGAGAGAAAATCAGGAATGAAAGATCTCAAATTTATCAGAGAGGCGAATTGGCATCAATTCGTGATTAAAAATACCATTACCTTCTTCAAGATTCTGAATCTCAAACATGATTTCCTGAAAATCGACTCTACGTAATGGGGAAATTGTGAAGATTATATTGAGGCTTCACAAGTTGTGAGATTACTTCTTGTTACAAATGATGTGGCGGAAAGGAGTGTAGCTCTCATGAGCGAATGAAATAATTTGCTCACAAATGATGAAAACAATAAGCAGGATGTGATGCAAGTGGTGAAAAAATTACAGGAGTTAATACCTGCTTGCACACGAGAAAGCTTGAAATTTTCATTAGAAAACTATTTGAACAAATCACCGATTGAAAATGTGAGTGATCCCGCGTCGAAAAATTGATCGTTCCGCATCTTCCAAATCGCTTCGATTTGTCATATATCCTTAACGACATAGGAAGACACAGGGAAGACCATAGTCATCTCATCCTCGATGGCAATAAAAATATGGACGAGAAGAGTCGTTCGAATATCGCTCCGATGTTGTAGTTATTGGACTTATGAAGACCGAGGAAGAGTTGAGGAAGACAAGAATCGTTTCCGTTTATGACGGTTGGAGCGACACCGATATTCCTTTGGTCGCTCTAGTCTTCATTTTTGGGGGTATCGGTCAGTATGTCTGCCCTTGTCTAAATTTTATGGCTAGGTACCGCCGGTACCATCGAGGAGAGCAGGGGGGAGAGGTTGTACCATGTTTTGTTTATAAAAAACATTGAAACAAATTGAAAATATTCGATTTATTTTGGAAACTATAAAACCATAGATTGATCGATGTTACAAAAAGTGATTACACATTTTAACAAAATTTCATTATATTATATGTATTCAATTATAGTATAATTATATTATAATTATATTATATATGCTTGAGACATAATTTCACTCATTGGAGTTGCATAGAACTATTATACATATTAACAAAATTTGTTGAAGCTTCCGTGGTATCCGGGCATTGAAGGGCACCAACGAGGCTTTCCCAATCGATTCAAGTGTTTTGGATTTGAATTCTTCGGAAAAAAGTGATTTAATTCTCATTATCTTGAGATCTATCCGATGCTCTGACTCTAAAAGTATTCCTTTTATTCCCGTATTGATCACCCGTAGAACGTTTTTGATACGCCATGTAGAACTTCTGGAGTCTGTGCTTTATCTTCGGGGGCGATGAAATTACCACTGTTCGAAACACCCTATTTTTTGTAATTCTTCGCATGATTCTGAAAAAAAAATGATTCATTTTTTTCTTTCAAAATTCTTCGAGAAGAGATGTGGAATGATCAATTAAAGGAAGACTACAATGAGTTTTAAAAGTCGCGGGCGATTGGAGTGAGATTTCTCTTGCACTAAAGATCAATTAAATAGCCCTAAAAACGAATAATGAGTGCAAAAAAATTAATTGTTTATTGTTCGTTTGCCCCGCCCGCGCTTAAAATGTTGAAAATAGTTCGGGGCCTCCAATTATTTAGCTACAGAGATTTTTTTCAAAATTTTTGAAAAAATGTGTGCAATAATAATTACAAGTTAGTTTTTTGAAATTCGACTCCTAAATAGCTAACTTCGTTTTTTTTAATAACAAAATGGCACCATTCATGTAAAATAGTCCGAAAAATGTTTTTGAAAGGATCGAGAAAATATTTTAAATATTTTAAGAATATTTTTTCTGCTTAGTTTACGTGGACGGCACAAATTTTTATCTTGAACAAAACGAAATTAGCTGTGTAGGAGTCGAAATGCAAAAAACTAACTTGTAATTAAGTAGCGAAGTGGTAAAAGGAGATAAGTCAATTTTGACTATAGACCAGTTTTTAATCAATACCTCAGAATCTAAGAGAGATAGCGAAATTTTTATTATAACCTTTTTTGTAGAGCCTATTGAGTGCTACAACATATGTACTTCCAAAAATTTCGCTATCTTCCTTAGATTCCAAGATATTGATTGAAAACTGGTCAATAGTCTAAATTGATTTATGTCCTTTTACCACTTCGCTAATGAATTGTTAATGGACACATTTTTTCAAAAATTTTGAAAAAAGACTTCTATAGCTCAAAAATCAGAGGCCCTGGACTATTTTTAATATTTTAAGCATCTGCGGGACAAACGAATAATAAATAATTAATTTTTTGCACAAAGTATCCGTTTTTAGACATGTAATGGATTTTCACCGTATAAGAAATCTCATTCCAATACCCCGCGACTTTTAAAACTCATATTAGTCTCCCCTTAATTTTATAATTTGATCGAGTCATTTAACCGTGGTATTTTTATAGATGAGAACTTGTATTAAAAAATCAAATAATAGTCACACTTGCCTCCTTTTGGGGAATCTGACGCTGTAGGTTATCGATTTCTTTCCGTCCTTCCACGATAATGTCGTATCGGCATTTTCATGGTGATCATTCCTGTAGATACTGGATAATGGTACTATATCGCTTTTTTTATGTTTCCAAAAAACAATTGCAAACATTGCATACAACACTCAGGAAAACTTCGAAAAATAATGATAATGAAGAGAAATGATGCGTGTCTTCCAACGGCCATCGAACTGAACTGGAAAATATCCCTTCCTTGCTATATTCTAGGTCGAAAAGTATATTTAGTTGCAAAGAAAATGTACCCGAGCGGTCCTTTTCACCCCTTATTTTACCATCCCTTTTCAATAAAAAAGGAGAATTCCCCAAAAACAATGAGGTACCGCTATGTCTCCAGGTATACCATTTTTTTGATGTGCCGAACACGATGTCCCCTGACCGTCTGAGTCCGGCCGGTACGGCGTAAAAGCAATGAAATCGAATCAATTTTTTATTCAGTCTACGGAAAAATTTTCGTATATCCTACATCAGGAATTTCATTCTATTTTTCGACGCGAATAAAATATTTTCGAGTTATTCTATTTGTCATAATCCGATGCATCAGTAGAAGAAAAAAAAAGGGAATAATAATCATTCGACCATATGCAATTGCAGAAGAAATGAAATTTTAACCGAATTTCAATCTATAATTATGTAATTCGGATCTTATTTTTCAATATACGATTCTTTGAATATATTTCGGTGAATTTCGCTCAAATTGTTCTAAGTTCTATTCTGTGCAGATATTTTTATAAGTTCCCCTGACACGAAAATTTTTCCGAGTCCTCAAACTTTCGAATACTTTGACGATAATACAACGATACTAGTCTTCATGTGAATATTTTCAGTTCAGTCATTAAACTTTTATAATTTTATCGATCCCCCGATCCTTTTACTTGCTTGATGGACCCTAAACGTTGAGAAGACACGAATGTACAGATCGACGACTCTTGTCATTCCGATTAGGTAGTCGTTGCAAGTATTCGCTTTGTCGTCCTCTGTCTTCTGTGGCATGGCGTGGTCAAACGACACCCAACGACACATGGCAGATTTCTGCCGTTCCCAAAAAGTGGTGAAGACATAGAAGACTAAAGTCGTTGCTGAAAAACGGGAAAAAAAAATCCGAATAAAAAAAAATCGTCGCCTTGGAAGACAGAGAGAAGATTCGGAACGACCAATTTTTCGACTCGGGATCTTCAATAACGCATCGAAAAATGTCAATGCATCCAATGGTTCCAATCTCATTTTCGTTGCTATATTAAAATGAGGGCAGAAATATTAAAATCAATTTTTCAGCATTAGTCCTAGACAAAAATGGTAAAAATAGTATAATAATAATTAGAAGTAAGCTATTTTTATCATTCAAGTTTTGTTGAAATCCTTGAAAACTAATTGATTCAATAATCTAAATTTCGTAATGAAAATGTAAACAATCATGATATTTTCATGTTAAAAATAAAAACATGTTGAAAAGTGTCGAGCGTAATGAGAGGTAAATCCCTCTCTAAAAATGGTCAATGCAGCAGGCAAATTTTTATTGCTAGGATTCAGTTTCTGTGTTTATGACCGTTGTAAAAGCACCGGATAAATCTAGCATCTGCGCCTACATGAAAATTGATGAATTTTGTTTTGTATTTTTCTCGCCATTGAATTCGCTTAAAAATTTTCGTTCTTCTTTGCATGATAGTACGATAACTCAACAATTATATAATCGAATCGATAAGAAAAATGCACAGTCAATAAGCGTTGTACGCATTTTTTAAAACCTCCCAATCCTGCGGAAAATTGAATTTTTATGTCGTCAAAAAATTGTGATTTGAAGAAAAAAAAATTTGGATATTCTTTGCCTTTCTGCTAGTAAGTTTATGGAAATTGATGCTAATAAGTTGAATTGTGGAGTTACAAAAAATCATTATTACATTTGGACACTGCGAGACGTGTAAAACTCCATAAGAAATAAAACTTCGTAGAGCTCAGCTTAAAAATGTTTTCAAAAATCTGTAAAAATTTACATGAGCTGCTGATTTTTTTTTAGTTATCTTTAGAGGAATCGGAACCATAAAATTCATTCAGTTTCTCTCGTAGGCCTGCCTAAACCATAATGATGATTATAACCATGACAATTAATTTTGAATGACGATTCTTCTTTTCTTTGGGATAATTAGCGAATAACAAGCGATTTCAATATATACCATGCCACCTTGACCATTTTATTTTTACTATTACACCCTTGAAAATTTATCTTCAAGATTCCACCGTTACCATTCAACCCTCACAGTGTTACCCTTATGATTTTCTCGCCCCTTCCCATTATTACGATTTAACCCTTACAATATTACTCTTCAAATTTTCCCCTTATGATTCCACCCCTATGATTCCATTCTCATCATCTCACCCTTACGACTTAACCCTTACAATGACAGCAGCGGCTGGAGCCCAATGACCAAGCTTCGAGCCACCGCTGGCTCGGGTTTGGTTATCGAGCTCCGGCATGCCAATGTTCGGCCAAGGCTGGGCCAGATCTATCAATCAAGGCTCCGTTACCCGCCTTTCCCCCGAGACTCAAACCGGGGTCCCCAGGGATGGCCAAACCTCGATCCAAGCTTGGGCGCCCAGACTTGGTAAGCCCAGGCTTGCGCCAAACTTGACCCGTTTTTCCAACACTGGTCTTTCCTACCTGGAATAGCAAATTTTTACTGAAAAATTGGGGGGGGGGGGCTGTGCATCGAGAATTAACAATCGAAAAAATTGAGAATTCACAATTAAAAAATTGAGAACCCCCCCCCATCAATTTTTCAGTAAAAATTCGCTACCTCTCTTAGTTTCGGTGGTATCTACGGGAGGGGGGACGGACTGTACATCGAGAATTCAATACAACCCATGTATATATATAGATCCCCCTTATATATATATCCCCCCCCCATATATGAACACCGCATATATGAGCCCCCCTCCCATAAATAAAATCACCCATATAAACCTCTCCTCCTAATTAATTAATCCCTTCCCTTGAAAACTCCCCATATACACTGATAGACTAATTCATTTATTCCAAATGAGATTCGTTAACTATTAACGAATGGTAGAATTGAATATGACCAAATGAATATTTGTTAATAGTTAATGAATGGTTCACTTAAAAAGTAAAAATCGAGTCAAACAATGCTCCTCAAATGTGCATTTGTGAACTATTAACGAATGAACATTTGGTGAGGCCGAATACACTCTCGTCTCCAACCAAATCCATTCGTTAACAATAACTAATCCTTTCTATCAGTGTATGAAACCCCCATTCTCACATCGCAAACTTCCGCTATTTGGGCACCCCTCCTTATGGAGCACATACGCCTTTTAAATACCTACGCCTCCATTTTTTAGTTCAATATGCAATTTTTTTTAAATTAAGAAAAAATCAGCATTGGTTTTAGACAATATTTGTTCTTAAAAACAATCTCCAAATTCGTTAGTTTTTATGATCCTACTACTGTCGGTGTCAAAAGTAGAGACCACTCGAAATAAACGTCTATAAGTCAGTAAAAAAAAATCGTAAAAATATGAGACCAAATACACTGTGTAATAGAAGTATTTCGCTTGCCCAATACGGAGTTTCAAGTTTTTAATTTGATTAGTTTATTTATAATCGCTGTGAGAAGCCGAAAAACCCCCCGATTTTCAGGGTCCGTAAAAGTCGGCAAACTTTGAACCGCTAGCAAACGTAAGAAAATTTCTTTTTTTAAATCGTCAATTTTTTCAGTGATTTGTATAACCCCTGAGAAGCCAACCAGGGAAGAAAAAGATCGAAATTGCGATAATTATTCATTTTATTTATAGAAATGTCGACTGCGGCTATTTCGTTGTAGAATTGCCGAGCAGACGTGAAAAAAAAACAATGCATTTGGAGTTCAATGTAAAACACTTTCGGTCAATAGTTTTTCAATAAACAATCTCCGTTGATTTTTAAAAAAATCAAGAAAATTTGTCAAAAAAAGTGCTGTTAAAACGATCATAACTCGTTATGGGGTTTATGGGCCCGCTCACCGCCAGTCCCTCAAAATTAAAAACACATGTGCACCCGGCTACCTTTTTCAGGGGCGTCGATACCAGTTTCAGCCGTTTGGGCCCTTTGGGGCGCCAATATACTGTACATTGCTGCTTTCCCATTAAAACAAAAATACAAACACGAATATTTTTTTTTTAATCATCATCTAATCTTAGCATATATATATATATATATATGTTTCCGAGCATACCCATAATTATTTTACTTTAGGGAAAATTACGTAATTCTATTGTAATATTAATATTCTAATAATGATTTCACTCAGGTTCAACGGTGGAGACATGGCAGTGGTCATGATCGCAAAAATGAAGTAATGATTATATGCGGTTCTAAAAATGTTTTAGAAGGAGTTCTGCGATACTGTTGATTTAAAAATTCACTTGAATAATGAATTTGAAAATATTAAGTCATCATTTTCTTCCTGCAAAACAACATAGAGGAAAATTTGCCAAATATTGGTATAGTTTTGTATCTTCAAAAATTTAATTTTGTCGAGGCTGCTCATATGGTTTTCTTATGATTCAAAAGACCTAATCCTTTTTTTTCATTTTTTCTCCAGTTTTGTTACTCATTACGTCAATTCTTCTGTTTCTTGATTTTTTG